AGGCAGGAGCAGGGGACGGGGCAGGAGAGGAGCAGAGAAGGGCGGACATAGGCAGGAGCAGGGCACAGGGCAGGAGAGGAGCAGGGTGGGGGACAAGTGAAGCTGTGTGGGACCAGGGGTGTAGGAGCAGAAGGGGACAGAGAATTAACTGTTTATAAACACTACAGTTCTCTGCCCTACAGAACCTGGCATTTCACCTATTTTTTCTGTCTCTCAGCTTTCGTTTGGGGTCTGGTAAATAGAAGCCACGGGCCAAGTGTGAGTCTTCTACTCTTATCAGTTACTCTGTTAGCTTGAGCAGCAGAGGACTGTGTCGTGGATCTAAAGGTCTGAACCCCACTGACCATCCACACAGGGTTAACACACTAACTTATGCACACTGGCTTCATACCTTTAGTTAATGGACCTGCACTCTCCTTAGTCCCCATGTAGACAGGGACTGGGTGCTAGCTATCGTGCTGAAAAGCCCTCCCCTGCTTCAGTAGCTTCCCTGCCACCTAGCCCTGAGCCTCCTCCCATTCCCAGCTCACCAGGCCCCACCCCATCGGAGTCCACCCTAAACACTTGTATTGTTTTGCTTGTTGTAGTCAAAGCTGGTTAAACTCGAGTTCCTCCCCTCCTCCCCCCGGGCACCCCTGCATGCACTATCCTGTCTTTCTGGGGTCCCGCCGGCACTGCCAGGTCTCTGGGTGAGGAACTGGCTCATTCTGGGTCTTGTCAGCACTGAACTAATACTGCCTTTCCCCAGCGAACTTGACATTAAAGAATGTGACGAGCTACCAGAGGCTGCACATCCTGGGAACGCCGGCAGCTCGAGCCGATTGGGCATTTTTTGACAAAATGGTTTTTCATTGAAAAGTAACAATTTATGAAAACCAAAAGTTTTTCTGGAAATGTATTGGTTCCAAAGAAACTTTTGTCAGGAAGGTTGTTTGGTCCAGGATGGACTTTGTGATCGAAACGAGAAAGAGAGAGAGACCCCAGACTAGCCAGTAGGATTGAGAATTGTTCTCTTCTCTGGCCCAATGAATATGTAATTACTTATACAAAATGGAAGAGCTCCAGCAGGAGGCTTTGAGAGGGAGAGACAGACACTGACTCTACAGCCCTGCAATCATTGTCAGGGATTGCTAAGTGCTGACGAGCCCCAGAATGAGCTAATTCCTCACCCGGAGGCCTGGCACTCACCTGGGAGATGGGAGACCCAGGTTCACGGCCCAAATCGTCCTGATTCAGAGACGGGAAATGTTCCAAAGCCAGGACTCGTCTCCCACATCGCCGGTGAGTGACCTCGCTGCTGGGCAGTCTGAGGTGCATCTCTATCCCCTGTTTTTGAAAGGTCTCTGGTTCATTCCGATGCAGAATCACCAGGACTTTCAAAACCTCACCGTTTTTTTGCAACACGGAATTCTTGTCTCCAGCCAGTCCTACTCACCTGCCATTACGCCCCCTTCCGGCCAGGCAGCTGACTCTCCTCCCAGGGTGCGGCTCTGCCCATCCTCAGAGCAGGGCTGCCTCCCCACCCCCCTCCTTCCTCCACCTGCAGGCAGGCGCCTTTAAAGCGGTCGTGTTACCAGACATGAAGGGGGGGCCTCAACTCCCCTCACGTGTGGCCCGACAGTTCCGCGAGCTGAGCTCCGCAGGGCAGTGGACTCCCTCTCTCGAGACGCCGCACGGGCAGTGGGAGCCCCTGCAGAGCCCAGCCCCAGCGCTGAGCAGCACCACCAGGCTGGCTGGGCGGCTGCTCACGGCACTGTCATTTCGGAGACTGAGATGATTGAAGGTTCCCTTGGCTGGCGGTGAAGGGAAACGAGGCGACAAGGACACACCTGGAGCAGATTTGAGAGGTAGCTGTGGACGGTGGAGAGCTCAGAACTTGCTCAAATTCCCTGTGGTCTGACGGCTCCCAGGCTCCTCTAGAGGCCATGGTCTGGGGTATGTCTGAGCAAAACAGGTCAGCTAGTTTTCAGTTTCAAACCAAAAGTGAAAAAAAAAGAAACCCCTTTTCTAACCTGCTCCAATCCCAGGGGTAGGGATTTGCTTGCTAGGCCAGTTTGCCCTGTAAAGTATCACTGTCTGTGATGAATGCACAGACTGGAAATGCAAACCGGGCGAGTTAACATGGGACAGCAACTCTCACTTTGGGAAATTCCTGACTCGATTGCTCACCCTTAATGCTTCATTATCACTGGTTATCTGCATTTAATTAGATACTAAAAACTGTTAATAGACCTTACCCTTGGCCTCAGCAATGGGTTTGTCCCTGGTTGGATTCTCTGCTCTCTGTATCATTTCATACAAAACCCCTCAAACAAAACGATCTCAAAAGAACATTAGGGTTGCAAAGTCGAGCACTCAGAGGATAGGAATGCACAGGCTGCCCTGTCAAGCTCCAGCTTTCGGGGCCTACGAGCATGCTCAGTGTGGAAGGAATGTTCAAGAGATTTTATCAGCAAGCTTCTAACAAGCTCTACTGAGCATGTGCAAATGCAGTTTGCAGGGGTTTATGCTGCCAAATCTGAACACATTTTCATGGGGATTACAAAAGACACCTCTCTAACCCCAGGACTATTCCCTGGCTAAATTTCAAGTTCCTGTTCTACGCCCTCAAGGTGCTGAAGCTCTTCAGCTGGAAGAAATTCTTCAGCGTTGGCAAAACTAATGGTGAATCATTTTTGCTTAAATGTTTAAAAATTCAGCCTCAGGCAGAAGCCCAACATGGAATATTTCAGCCCAAAGGGTTAAAGTTTGGCAATGTTATATGCAGCTGAAAATAGGGGCTTATAATGGAAAATGTTATTCCACCTTAACTAGAGGCATCTCTACCAGTTCTGACTATAAATTGTCCTCTTTGTAACCTTTTTGACGGTCTATGTTCAGGTTTTTCCCCCCAAAAGATACTGAGGTAAAGTCACCCATGAGTCAGTGTCCTGCAGTTTCGAAGGATTTATTGTTCTCTCCCCATTCCATCTGAGGAGTGGAGGTGGCCTGGAGCAGACGTGTCTGACATTTCTCCGTTACCCTTAGCCCTTCCCAATGGTTTCTCCCACAACCCCTTCCTGCCACTCTGCCCCCAGCGCCCAGGCTCCCCCACCCCCAGCCTGATGGGCAAGACCACCACCATGTCCTCCTTCACCTGTCATAACATCCCCGAGAAACCAGCCCATGAAGCTGGCTGGGCGCAGGAGCCGCGGGGGGTATTACTGGATATAAAAGCTGTCCCTATTGTCCCTTGGGGCCGTCCCCAGAGTACCTGAGTACCCCGATGTAGAGTGGGAGGGAGATTTTCTGCTTCTCTTCTTAGCTCTTGGTCAGGGACTGTGTCTCCTGTTAATGCGAATGGCACGTGGGCAGTGCTCAGCCCATCAGGCCCCAGCAAAGCCCTAGGTCAGAATCTCCTCTCAGCGACACCCAAGTTCTCGAGGCTCCGTCTCCCAGGCTCCTGGCAAGTCTGGACAGAGGGTTCAGCATGTCGGAGTCAATCAGCCCTAATCTGTTTGAGAACTTCCCTCCAGTTCTGATTGAGAGTACCTGCTGGAGTCATGAAGTTCAGCGAGACCAGTGGCTCTCCATTTTTTTACTGGTGACCCTTTTCACACAGCAAGCCTCTGAGTGCGACCCCCCCCTTATAAATTAAAAACACTTGTGTATATATTTAACCCATTATAAATGCTGGAGGCAAAGCGGGATTTGGGGTGGAGATTGACAGCTCGCAACCCCCATGTAATAACCTTGCGACCCCCTGAGGGGTCCCGACCCCCAGTTTGAGAACCCCTGAGCTAGACCCTAGGAAACTTCTCATTCCTCTCACCCCGAACGTCTCTTAAAGGGACACCAATGAATGAAAATCCACTTGTCTGAAAATCTGGGACTTGCTCTTGCCCCGTAACTCTCCAATCACTGCCACTGAGACGGACTATGGAAAAGCTTTCACACACTTTACAGTCTCTTTCCTTTATGCATCTGCCAGCACTTTGTGCAGCCGGATAGTCCCCTGTCTGCCTGGCAGATCAGCCAGTCACCGGGGCTCCCATGGCAACAGAGGGGAAACGTTTTCTAAAACAGGAAAATGTAACTGTGAAGCCACACAAATGTCAGGGGCCTGAGAGGCAAGTGTTTCAGCCCCGTCCCATCTCCAGGAGGGAAGCCAGATGGCCCTGCCCAAACAGGGCGCTCATCTCGGCCCCGTGCAGACACAGGGTCGCTGTGTAAAAGACACTGGTGAAAAGAGTGGGAGGAGCAGGAGACACCGGAACCACTCGTGCATTGTCTACTTGCGACTTAGCTAAGAGCCATGTAGCCGCTCAGCCTGGGCGAGACCCTCCTCCTCTCCTTACCTGGGCCTCCTGGGAACTGCATGCTGCTCCGCTCCTTGGCAAGCCCGTTGGTTTTGGGGCTGGCGCTGGGGGCTGTCGCCGTCGTCGCCCTGGGGAGCCGCTTGCCCGGCACCTTCACTGTTGTTCTCAGCAGATCTATTTCCTTGCCATGGACGTTCTGCATGTAATCCTACAGCAGAGAGACAGCAGGTTCAGGCTCAGTGCAAGCCTCTCTACCTCCCTCCACTCACACGCTCTGCCAGGTGGTCATTGCCCCAGACAGCCGCAAGGCGGCCAGCAAGCGACATGGAGGTGTTTCAGAGCTCCGGATTCACTTCCCCATTACAGCTCAAACACCCCCAGGCTCCTCTTGTGCTTCCCTGCACTACCAGTGCAGCTGGCCTCGAGGTGAGAGGTTCCTGTCCCGTTCCCAGGGCCAGCCATTGCCTGACATGAATAATGCCATCCCTGAGCCAGCCAGCCCCCTCCCAACCTGGGGCCGGATTAGAACTCAGTGCCCACAGCCCAGGCCCCTTCGTCAGAGCACAGGTAGCGATGCTGAGCTGCGGGAACACGGGCAGTCCCATTCCTTCCTTCCTGTAGCCTGTGGAACACAGAGCCGGAAAATCTCTCCCAGATCCCAGCTCCTGTGATCCGAACAGAGGGAGTTCCCTGTGGTACATTCGCCAGCACGACTTTCTGGGCTTCCACCTCTTCTCTTGGGAAACCATGACAGCAACTGGCACATCTCACCCACAGACTGCAAGTACGAGCCACCTGGAGAGACACACTTCGCTCTTTCAGCCTCTCCCCATAACTCAGTCCCCCAAGCAAGTCCCTCCAATCTGGGACTGACGTACCCAGAAATACGTGCACAAGTCCACGTGTGACCCCCTCACAGAAAGGGGCCGTCCCTCGGGCTGAGAGCAAGGTCCCAGGAGCGTGGGGGGGAGGGGGGAGAAGGCTACAGGGAAGGGCTGTCCCCTCCCTGCTCTGGGACCCAAGGCAGCTCTGCACAGCATCCCCTCCCTGGGGGCTTGCTCTGTACGTGGCAGATGAGGGACAGCAGCTGGCCAGGACGAAGCGGCAGCTGCAGTTCTCTGTTCGGCAGGAAAGCTTGGGTTTGCTCCAGTTCACAAGGAGGTCACCAAAAAGATTAAGTCAGAGTTGGTCCCTGTGTAAATCCTCTGCTTCTAAACTCAGGAAGGTAGAGCAACGAACAGGCCCAACCTAGGAGCCACGGCTCCTCTGACTGCCCCCTGGCTTAAAGCGGCGGGTGGAGGAGCGTTGTATGGGTCACACTTCCATAGCCTCCAGGTCATGATGTGCAAGGACTACCGCTGCTGGACTGGCTCAGCCAGCCTGCACTGACCTCCCTCGCTCTGACAGGGGCCTAGCTCCCAGCCCAGCAGAGAAGGGCCACCGCACACCCTTCCCAGGCACTGGACTCCTAGGGGGCCTTGACTCGACCCGAGCAGAGCGCCCAAGCCAACAGACACCCTTGGGTGTCCCAAGCATTCCCCAGCTGTACAGCCTCATTACCAGCTCCTCCAAGCAGCGCCGGGGCTGAGTGGGCGGCAGGAGAAGCCCCTGGGCAGGGAATCTCAGAGGGGCTGAAGGATTTTCCCTAGCTCAGCACAAACGCTGTGCTAGCCGGCTGCCTGCCGGAGAGAGCGGTCACCAGCACGCTGCTTTTATTACATGCTATAAAAGAGCAATTTCTTCCCCAAGCCTCCTCACTAATTACCCAGCCAGTTCTCTCATTTCATTTTATTACTGGAATTAACAACGAGTTCAAAGCGTGGAAAGCTATTAAGATGTGTGATTAAGCCACATTCAATTAGTTTCTACAAACAATTTAATTGATGTTGCAGATAGAATTAACAGAAGGTGATTGTGTGAATGGCTCCACTGGCTGCAAAATGGGAGATGCTTTCTCTCTGGCGCTGCTTCGCGCAGCCTGGCCGGGCCGAGCCGTGTGCTTTCCCCAGGAGCAGAGACACTTGCTCTCCAAGGCTTTGGGAAAGTGACTTGAAACTGCCTTGGCCTTTCCATGAAATTTGCTCTTTTCCTCGCATGGAACAAACTCAGACACCAAAGAAGGGAAAAGAGGCCAAGGGAATGTGGAAAGCTGCGCCAGAGACCTGCAGCCCTGGGACCCGGCCTGCAGAGCCCTCCTGTCTGCAGCATCAGCTGCTGCTCTCCGCTCCAGCTCAGGACACCCCATCTGCACAATGCCCAAAGCTGCTGAAAACTCAGAGTCAATGAACACAGATTCCAGGGAAAGCAACAGAGGAGACACCAGCTGTGGGCTGCAAGACAAGGCTCTGCTTGAGCTCCAGGGAGATAGCAGCAGGTCCAGGCTACCAAGGGTTACCTGACCAGTACAACCAAGGGGGTAAAGGACACTTAACTCTAGCGTTGAACAAGGTCTTATGGGGGCGTCATTGCAAGAACTACAAGTCTAATTCCTGGAGACAGTGAGGAGTCTAGGGAAAGGGGGGCTTTTCCCATTGCTGGGGCTGGAGGTGCCAAGAGCTGAACTTGCTGATCAAAGAATCCCAATGAAACCAAATCATAGAATATCAGGGTTGGAAGGGACCGCAGGAGGTATCTAGTCCACCCCCCTGCTCAACGCAGGACCAACCCCAACTAAATCAACACCAACTAAATAACTCAGGGGAGTCCAGAGAGAGGAAGCCCTGAAGGAAACACAAATGCAACTCAACTGGGGCAGTGCAGCTAATACACCTGGGGCAGCTGCCCTGACCGCAGGGGAGCTGGGGCCAGAGTGGGGTGGGAGACGGGGGAGAGGGGGGCGGCAGCAGTGGGACACGGCAGGAAAAAGTCCCTGGGATCACAGAGGCCTCTGCGCTGTAGGAAGACCCCACCTGGAGAACGATGATAGTTCTCAGCTGCCTCCTCTGCACACCTGGATTCTGCAGCTGAGCCTCACTCCAGCCAAGCTGGAGGGGCTGCGGGCGGGTACAGCGCATTTCCCGATGAAGCGAAGGGAGATGAGGGTTACATGCCCTGACCTTTCATAGAATCAGAGAATCTCAGGGTTGGAAGGGACCTCAGGAGGTCATCTAGTCCAACCCCCTGCTCAGAGCAGGACCAATTCCCAACTAAATCATCCCAGCCAGGGCTTTGTCAAGCCGGGCCTTAAAAACCTCCAAGGAAGGAGATTCCACCACCTCCCTAGGTAACGCATTCCAGTGCTTCACCACCCTCCTAGTGAAATAGTGTTTCCTAATATCCAACCTAGACCTCCCCCACTGCAACTTGAGACCATTGCTCCTTGTTCTGTCATCTGCCACCATTGAGAACAGCCGAATTCCATCCTCTTTGGAACCCCCTTTCAGGTAGTTGAAAGCAGCTATCAAATCCCCCCTCATTCTTCTCTTCTGGAGACTAAACAATCCCAGTTCCCTCAGCCTCTCCTCATAAGTCATGTGCCCCAGCCCCCTGATCAATTTTGTTGCCCTCTGCTGGACTCTCCCCAATTTGTCCACATCCTTCTTGTAGTGGGGGCCCAAAACTGGACCAATACTCCAGATGTGGCCTCACCAGTGTCAGAGGGGAATAATCACTTCCCTCGATCTGCTGGCAATGCTCCTATTAATGCAGCCCAATATGCTGTTAGCCTTCTTGACAACTGCTGACTCATATCCAGCTTCTGTATCTCATATCACTCATATCCACTGTAATCCCCAGGGTCCTTTTCTGCAGAACTGCTGCTTAGCCAGTCAGTCCCCAGCCTGTAGCGGTGCATGGGATTCTTCTGTCCTAAGTGTAGGACTCTGCACTTGTCCTTGTTGAACCTCATCAGATTTCTTTTGGCCCAATCCTCCAATTTGACTAGGTCACTCTGGCCAATGGCTCTGCAATCACCTCAGCCGATTCCCTCAGCACCCTCGGATGCATTAGATCTGGACCCATGGACTTGTGTATGTCCAGCTTTTCTAAATAGTCCTTAACCTGTTCTTTCACCACTGAGGGCTGCTCATCTCCTCCCCATACTGTGCTGCCCAGTGCAGCATTCTGGGAGCTGATCGTGTCTGTGAAGCATTGAGTACATTAGCTTTTTCCTCATCATCTGTCACTAAGTTGCCTCCCCCATTCAGTAAGGGGCCCACACTTTCCCTGACCTTTTTCTTGTTGCTAACACCTGTAGAAACCCTTCTTGTTACTCTTAATATCCCTTGCTAGCTGCACCTCCAATTGTGTTTTGGCCTTCCTGATTACACCCCTGCATGCTCGAGCAATATTTTTATACTCCTCCCTGGTCATCTGACCAAGTTTCCACTTCTTGTAAGGTTCCTTTCTGAGTTTAAGTTCACCAAAGATTTCACTGTTAAGCCAAGCTGGTCGCCTGCCATATTTGCTATTTTTTCTGCACATCGGGATGGTTTGTTCCTGTGCCCTCAATAAGGTTTCTTTAAAATACAGCCAGCCCTCCTGGACTCCTTCCACACTCATATTGGCCTCCCAGGGGATCCTGCCCATCAGTTCCCTGAGGGAATCAAAGTTACTTTTCTCAAGTCCAGGGTCTGTATTTTGCTGCTCTCCTTTCTTTGTGTGCCTGCTGGACCCATGCTGCTGCTGCGGCGATCCTTCCTTTGGAACATGGCCCTTGCTAGTCAGCCAGGCTGTTCTAGTGTCACATGCTCGCCTCAGGGCGCCCCTCGAGGACCCACGGGAACGCCCGCTGGCGCTCTCCTCGGAAGTGGCTACGTGTTCCCTGCACGGCAGTGGCTCCTGCTGCGCTCCAGAGGGCAATGCACAAGTGGTGAGGACAGCCTGTGACCCCCGCGCAGGGCTCCTTTCCCCTCCCTGTGTCGTGGGCTCCAGCAGGCCCCTGGCCCCAGAGCAGAGTTTCCGGAGCAGGCGTCAGGCTAGCCGCAAGGGGCACTCGGCCATTCAGGCCTGCTCACAGCCACCAACACTTGAGTCCGCCAGCCTTCCGGAAGCAACACAGCGTGGAGGTGCCCAGTGGGGCTCTTGGCCCCTGGGGAAGATGGTGTCTGGGTGGGGAGGAGACAGACGCCCTTTGCCCTGCAGGGAGTTAGTTGGGGGGGGACAGAGAGGGCTACCAGCATGTGCATGCCAGGCAGGCCTTATTACTCCTCATTTTACTTCCCTGCTCAGCGCGTCGGTGGAAAGGCACGTAGAGGCAATGCCTTCGGCATGTACTTCCCTGGGTGTCCAGCAGCACTGGGCGAAGGGCCCAGGGTGACGGCGCTGGGCAGTACCGTAATGTCACACAATGACGGCGAGGGACATCCCAAGGAGTTCCTCCACCCTCAGCAGTGGGAGCTGACCGAGGTAACAAAGGCCGGCTCTGACCCTAGTGTAAAGGTGGTGCACACGCATGCACACACGGGGCACACGCACGCATACACGGGGCACACGCACGCACACACGGGGCACATGCACGCATACACGGGGCACACGCACGCCCTCTCTCTAGCCAAGAGCAGCTCCCCCGCAGTCTCCAGGGTCCAAGGCTATGGAAGAGAGAATGCAGGAGGGAGTCGGAGGAGTGGAGACCGGGGCAGAGCACCCGGGGGTCGGAAGAGGAGTCGGATGGCACAGCAGAACTAGGAGGAGAACAGGTTTTACAGTCCCATGGCTTAAGGCAATGGGATGAGAGGTGGCGCTCCGAGGTGAGCTGCTGCAGGAGAGGGCACAGAGAGCCGGATGGGGGCACACGGGGTTCCAGGAGCTGAGGGATGAAGCTCTGGGCATTAGAACACTTGGGGTCCGAGGGATTCAGGGCTCTAAGCATGGAGCAGCTCACCCCTCGAGGCCCGGGGCACGACGGCACCCCTTTGGCTAGCTCAGGGCCCACTGCGCACTGGCTGCCCTGTGCCCCCCATGAAGTGATCCCTGTTGTCCAGAGGGCGCTGCGGTCTGCAGGGCCACAGGTGTGTTTGTGGCCACGGTTCACTGTCTTAGCAGCAAACTGTGCTCAAGAGGGAACGGGAGAGAAGCCATTAGCCCCGCAGCAGGGAGGCGACAGAGATGGATGGAAGAGGCAGCTGTGAGCCAGCCGCGAAGAGACTGTAGATGCATCGAGTGACAGCTCAGCTCGGCAGGCTCTGCACGGCACCTCCTCTCTGTTACCCAAAACCTAACAGCCAGGAACACGTTTCACACCCAGACGGGGCCATCGGCCCTGGCCACAAGGAGCTTTCACTTTCTCCCTCCTGCCAGGGGCCATGCCCGACTGGGGACTGGCCAGGGAAGCAGGAAAAGAAAGGGGCATGTTACTTAGCATGCTTGTCCCTGCTGACCCCTCCCCTCAGCCAGACGAGCTCTGGAGGGGAGCGAGAGGTGCTGTCCTGGCCAGCGGGGACCAGAGTGTCTGCCTGGGTTCCCATTACGGGGAGAGGCTGGAGTCCTGGGGCTACCCAGGATGCGGAGCCCCCCCCCCCCACTAGCCTGGTGCTTTGGGGGGGTCACGACACCCCCCGAAGGACCTGCTGGAGCAGCAAAGCAGAGACCACCTCTGTGCCTCCCCCCGGCCACCCCCCAGTTCTGCAGGGCCTGCCCGGGGGTCACTCACGTGCAGGCTGGGGTGGTAGGTGAGGACTCCGTTATCGCACAGCGTCACATACTTCTTCTTCCACTCCTTGTTGAGGGACTTGCCGCTGCGCTTCAGGAGAATGCCCTGCGGGAGAGGAGTCGAGAACCTCAGATCCTGCCCTGGCCTGGCGCTGCCCCCCCACCCCTACCGCCCCGGGACTGCCCCTCGTGGGACCCGTCCCTGGCAGCGCCCCACCCTGCCCCCCCACCCATACCGCCCCGGAACTGCCCCTCGTGGGACCCGTCCCTGGCAGCGCCCCACCCTGCCCCCCCACCCCCACCGCCCCGGGACTGCCCCTTGTGGGACTCGTCCCTGGCACCGCCCCACCCCTGCCGCCCTACCGCCCCAGGAGCGCCCCTTGTGGGACCTGTCCCTGGCACCACCCCACCCCTACTGCCCTGGGAGTGCCCCTCGTAGGACACCATCCCTGGCACCGCTCCCCACCCTGCCGCCCCGGGAGCACCCCCTGTGGGACCCCTCCCCGGGCCCCCCCCCCCCCCCCCCCCCCCGCCCCCACCCCTGCCGCCCTGGGACTGCCCCTCGTGGGACCCGTCCCTCAGTGAGGCAGGGGGATCTGGACTCCACAGAGCGAAGTCTGGAACGGGCTTTCCAAGTTTCCCTGGGCCATTTGTGAGAGAGGCACCCCCAACCCGCCACGAGAAGAGGGGTGTCCCCCCGATGCCCCTCCCCCAACCCACCACGAGAAGAGGGGTGTCCCCCCTGATGTCCCTCCTCTAGCCCCCGGAGCCACAGGCTGCAGGGTGGGGGTGAAGAACAGGGGACTGGTGTGGGACTCCTAGGCCTGCCCTCCTGCCCTTAGGGCCCAGCAATCGGCTGCTCTCACTGCCGCAGAGGTCTGGCTCTGTGGGCACGGTAGCAAGCGGGGACGGGGGGCACAAGCCAGCAGCAGCGACTGGCTCAGCCACTCCCCCCTGCCCGTCCCCACTGCCCTGTTAGAGGGGAGGGTGAGGGGCAGTGACTCTGGGGA